ATATATATATATATATATATATATATATATATATATATATACATATTAAACATTAAATTGTATTTATATGCTGTATCTTATAAGTTATAATACAAAATTATGTTTGTGTGTACGTGCAGAAAGATGTCGCTCTGGAGGCTGCAAGGCGACCCCCTTGTTGCTGCTGCTGCTGCTGCTGCGCGCTGCTGCAGAGCAGCAGAGGAGGCACTCGCTGATTTGCTGCAGCAGCAGCAGCAGCAGCAGCAGCAAAGGCAGCAGCAGCAGGCACTCAACGGATGCAGCTCAGAAGAGGAAAGCGAAACGAATCCTGCTGCTGCTGCTGCTGCTCCTGCTGCTGCTGCTGCTGCTGAGGGTGATGATTTGGCTGCTAAACTCGCAGCAGCACTGCCCAGGCGCCTCAAGTAAACCCTAAACCCTAAACCCTAAACCCTAAACGCTTAGTTCTAAACGCGCATGTAGTAGTTCCTGACGCCGGCGTACTCCCATTTAGGGTTTAGGGTTTAGGGTTTAGGGTTTAGGGTTTAGGGTTTAGGGTTTAGAGTATGAAGTGTATATACACCGCGCTCTGCTGTTTTTTGCTGCAGTTTCCCCCGATATTGTTGCTGCAATTCTATTTGCTCTTCAACCGCAAAAAGGCACGCCAAACCCTAAGCCCTAAACCCTAAACCCTAAACCCTAAACCCTAGCCTGCTTGAGGGGGCAGTAAGGCCTCGTTCTTCGCTGTAGACGTTCAAAGGCTAAGGGTTTCGTTTTTATTAATGCAACGCCAGTAGCAGCAGCAGCAGCAACAACAACAACAGCAGCAGCAACAACAACAACAGCAGCAGCAACAACAGAAGGAGCAGCAAGAGCAGCAAAAACAGCGAAAGCATCAACAACAGCAGCAACAGCAGCAGCCCCACCACCAGCAACCGCAGCAGCAGCAGCAGCAGCAGCAGCACCATCACCAGCATTCCCATCACCAGCCCCAGCAGCAGCAGCAGCAACAGCAACAGCAGCAGCAGCAGCAGCACCATCACCAGCATTCCCATCACCAGCCCCAGCAGCAAGAAGATGTGCTGTGTGTATGTGTTGCTGCAGTTGTCTGAGGGTTTAGGTTTGCTGCACTCTTTCTGCCGTCTGTTTGCAAGCCATCCAACATTTGCTGAACTCCGCAACCTACTCCTCCAGGTCCTGCTGCTGCTGCTGCTGCTGTTGCTGCTGCTGCTGCTGTTGCCGCTGGTGCTGCTGTTGCCGCTGCTGGTGCTGATGCTGGTGCTGATGCTCTTAATGCTGCTGGTGCTGTTGTTGTTAGGGGCGCTGATGTTCCTGCTGCTGCTGCTGCTGTTGCTGCTGCTGCTGCTGTTGCTGCTGCTCCTGGTTGCTGCTAACGCTGATTTGTTTATGCTTCGGTTGGTTCTGCTGCAGCAAAAGCTGTTGCAGCTGAAGCAGCAACAGCAACAGCGGAGGCTTGAAGAGAAACGGCGGCAGCAGCGGCAGAGAGGCAAGACGAAGCAGCAGCAGCAGAAGCAGCAGCAGCAGCAGCAGCAGCAACAGGGCCCGCTGCAGGCGTACTTAGAACAAGAAGAAGAAGCAGAAATCAGCAGGGCGCAGCATTTGCTTGTAAACCCTAAACCCTAAACCCTAAACCCTCAATATCAAGTCTTAAGAAACCCTAAACCCTCAACGCTTCCGGCAGCAGTCTCGCCTCAAGAATCCATCACAGATGCACCCATTAGGGTTTAGGGTTTGTGTTTAGGGTTTAGGGTTTAGGGTTTAGGGTTTGTTGCGTTGCAGTTTTTGTCTGTTCGGGAGGTGATTGCTTTGAATCAGTAAGAGTTAAGACAACCCATAGCTGGCTAGTTGTATAGATTGCTAGCTAGCTAGCTATGTAGCTAGCTAGCTGTACAGATGGGTAGCTAGCTAGCTAGCTAGCTAGCTATATAGCTAGCTACGTGGATGTCTATCGATGCTTCTTTCTGCTCCTCCTTCTGTCTTCCTTTCTGCCTGTCTACCGAACTCGCTAGGTAGCTAGCTAGGCAGCTAGCTAGCTAGATAGAGAGCTAGCTAGAGTCATCTGGCTAGCTGTCTAGGCAGCTAGCTAGCTGTCTAGGTATCTAGCTAGCTGCCTAGGTAGCTATCTAACTGTTTATCTATCTGTCTATCTATCTATCTGTCTATCTATATGCCTATCTATCTATCTACCTATCTATCTAGCTAGCTAGCTAGCTAGCTAGCTGTAACTTGTTTTATGTGTGCATTTGTTTAGGGGTTCGTTTGCCTGTCAGCAGTTTTGCGAATTTTCTTTTACTCTTCTCTCCCAACCTCAAAAGGCGTCAGTCCTCTTACAACTCGCAGTAAGACACCTGGCTAGCTAGCTAGCTAGCTAGCTAGCCCGATAGCTAGCTCGATAGCTAGCTAGATAGCTAGATAGATAGATAGATAGATAGATAGATAGCTGGCTGAACGCAGTCATCTAGCTAGCTAGCTAGCTAGCTTCTGAGACATTTGCCTAACTAGCTAGCCAGCTAGCTAGCTAGCTAGCTAGCTACCTATCTGTGTATATATTTCTCTATATCTATTTATATATTGATATACATATATATATCTATTTATTTATTTATTTATTTATTTATTTATTTGAGTTTTGTTTGTTTGTTCAGGTGCTTAAGCCAGACGATCTGCGCCTGTGGCTGTCTCTGCTATCTTTGCTTTTTTTGTCTCCTTTCTCTGTCTCTTCATCCTTCTTTGCATTGTCTTCGCCGGCTGATCTTCAGGCTTTTCAACAAACCTTTGCTATTCCAGAACGTCAGCTTCTCCTCGTCTAGCTAGCTAGCTAGCTAGCTAGCTAGCTAGCTATGTGGCTAGCTAGTTGCGTCAATCTTAGCTAGCTAGCTGCGTTTCTCTCTGACTAGCTAGGTAGCTAGCTAGCTGCAAGTTGCTATGGAGCTAGCTAGCTGCACCCTTCTCTGGCTAGCTAGCTAGCTACGCACACGTTTACCTACCTAGATAGCTACCTAGCTAGCGAACTACTTGCAGCCAGCTAGCTAGCTAGCTAGCTAGCTATCTATCATACAAATCATTATAATTATAAATACAAATATAGTCAGTCGATATATATATAAAGATAATACATAAAAACATAAATATATAAATATATACTTAGATATATTAATATTAATATTAATATTAATATTAATATTAATATTAATATTAATATTAATATTAATATTAATATTAATACTTATATTTATATTAATATTTATATTTATATTTATATATTTTATTTGCTGCTGTGTACAGGCGTTTGTTTATCTGCACTGTCTCCGCGTTGTTTGATTGCAGTTTGGTTGGTCGCAGTTTTCTTCTGTGAGTCTGCTTCATCTTATTTATCTTTATTTTATTTAATTATTAGGCTTTTGTCTCTGCAAGGAGCAGCAGCAACTCCCAGCAGCAGCAGCAGCAGCAGCAGCAGCAACAGCAGGAGGAGATCGGGTTTGCTGCTGCTGTCTCGTGAAAGGCTTGCTGCACTCTGCAGCAGAAGCAGCGAGAAAGTCGCGCTGCTGCAGCAGAGACAGCTGAAGCAAGGAAGAATTACAAAGAGAGAATATGTAAGAAGCACTGCAGCAAACCCCACAGCTGCAGCTGCAGCAGCAGCAGCAGCCAGTGATGCTGCAGCAGCTGCAGCAGCAGCATGGACGTGTCCCTACCATCGCCCGCGACCTCAAAAATCTGTAGCAGCAAATTCTCCTTCTTCAGATTCAAGAGCAGCAGCAGAAGCAGCAGAAGCAGCAGCAGAAGAAGAAGCAGCAGCAGCAGCAGCAGCAGCAGTAGCAGCAGAAGAAGAAGCAGCAGCAGCAGAAGCAGCAGCAAAAGGCGTCAGGCCTTGGATACCAACCCCCTCTCCTCTTCCTTTAAACAAGGCAGCAGAACGAGGAGGTGCGCACTGCTCTAAGAAGCAGCAGCAAAAGCAGCAGCAAAAGCAGCAGCAGCAGCAGCAGCAGCAGGAAGGGCAGCAGATAGTGCTGCTGTGCCGCCGCATAGTGTTTGCTGCTGCTGTTTATTTTTGGCTGTTCTTCAGAGAAAATTTATTTGCTGCTGTTGACTTGTGGAGTGTTGCTGATTTGCTTTCGCTCTCTTTTATCTAAACCTTTTGCAAGAGACAGCAGCAGCAGCAACAGCAGCAGCAGCAGCAGCAACAGCAGCAACAGCAGCAGCAGACGCTGCTGGTGCTGGTGCTGCTGATGCTGCTGCTGCTGCTGTTGTTGTTGTTGCAGTAGCAGAAAATGGCTTGACGCCTGCTGCTGCAGCAGCTGCAGCAGCTGCAGCAAGATAGCTGCTGCAGCGAAGGCTGCTGCTGGACAGCTATTAAAGACATCTATAGATTTGTTTTTTTCTTGAAGTATGCATTGTTAGGAAGCAATTTGCGGTGTATATACACCGCAGCAATTTGCGGTGTATATACACCTGAGAGACGCAGACAAACAAAAGAATTAAAATAATATTAAAGAAAGAAAGACGCCTTTGGAGTCATACCGCTGTTATTAATTGTTTATTAATTATCTCTGCATAAAATGAAGTGTACAGACAACACAAAATAAACAAATATTACTTTCATTTTAACAAACTGCATGCATATACTAAAATACCCACAAAATATCTCTCTGAGTTCTATAAGTGAAGCAGCAGCAGCAGCAGCAGCAGCAGCTGCTGCTGCTGCTGCTGCTGCTGTGCGGCTGCTGCAGATCCAGAGAAGAAAAGACATTGTTTAGTTGTTTATTTGTTTTATATCTATGAATTTGACTTAAAGTTATTTTATATTTATTTTATATTTATTTTAAATATATATTTTATATATTTTCTCTTTATTTTCTTGCGGTAGATATTAGTCTTCTGTGTGTATGGACTGTCTGCATTGAACAAAGAGAGTGAAAGCTGAAAATAAATTCAATTGAGGGTTATTTTTAAAATAAAAAATAGAAAATATAATAATATTTAAAATAATAAATATTATTTTATTTAAAAAACAAAGATTTATTAAGCTTCTTTCTCTTAGTTTCTGATCTATTGAAACAGACGAAGACGAAGACTGCAGAAGAAAGAAGAACAGAGCCGCTGCTGCAGCAGCTCGAGAAGAAAAACAGCAAAAATAAAATTATTTTATATTTATTTTTAAATAATAAATATAAAATTTAATAAATATTTGATTTATTCTATGAATTATCTTTTTTTTGCCTTCAAATGGGTGCCTGTACACCTGAAGACCCGTTTGATTTTTTCAGATCTTGAATCTTCTCAAATAAAGTATAAATAATAATATTTATTTTTTATTTATATTTCTTTTCTTTTATTCCTAATGGTTTTTTAAGGGTAAAAAAGAAGAAAAGAGCAAAGAAATAAAAAATATTAATGTCAAACAACTCAATCTTGCGTTTTTTTTATTTCTTCTGCAAATGCTGAAGAAAACAGAAAATAAATATAAATAAAATTAATTTATTTTTATGTTTTTTTAAAATATGTCTTTGAAATGAATCTATTCAGCGGCTTTGTCTTTGTTTATTATTTATTTTTTCTCTTCTCCTCTAGTGAGACCAGCAGAGGTGATTTTAATAAAATAAACTCTGAACACAAATAAAATAAACTAAATATATAAATCAATGAAAATGCAGCTGCTGCACTTCCAAGCAAATTCATCTGCTCTTCAATGTCTTCTTTTTCAGTGTTTATACCCCTACAACAGCAGCAACAGCATCAGCAGCAGC